GTTGGTAGAATTAACAATTTTTTCATAAATAATTTCTTGCAGGAACATTTTTTATTAGTCTCGTTTGCCATCCGAAAAACTGTTTACAAATTTTTGCATGACACCGAAACAAAGTTAGTAATTTAGGTGTCCATCCTTTACTTTTCTTGCTCCTACCTTAAACAAAAGAAATAAGTTGCTTAAAGAAATTACTCTGGGCTGCGAAATAATGCTGTTCATGTTGAGAAGCGCACGCTGCCTTAGACTTATGAGCCATTGACGCCTGGGTATCGGCTGAGTTAAGCTGATATTTTTACGTCCTTTTTTAGACGCGTGCCGCCGGAGAGGCAATTTGTCATTCTGCTGCTCACATCCATTAACAAGATGGAGCCACTGCCGAGGCCTCCATAGGCGCAGACTTGCGTAGAAGACTAGCGATACCTTCAACCACACCGCGCACGTCTGGCGCTTACGGTACGATACTTTCTGCCACACCGCGCACGTCTGGCGAAAACGGTACGATACTTTCTGCCACACCGCGCACGTCTGGCGCTTACGGTACGATACCTTCTGCCACACCGCGCACGTCTGGCGCTTACGGTACGATACCTTCTGCCACACCGCGCACGTCTGGCGCTTACGGTACGATACTTTCTGCCACACCACGCACGTCTGGCGCTTTCGGTACGATACCTTCTGCCACTCCGTCCACTTCTGGTGCTCACGGTACGATACCTTCTGCCACACCGCGCGTACGTCTGGAGCTTACGGCATAATAAACAGTATAAGAATTAAATAATCTCTTACAATTTCTACAATCCAATTTAAAGCAGTTATGATATAGACATTTAAGAATATCAAACTAGTACGCGTGAATCTGAACAGAGCTTGAATAGATTAGCCACTGAAGAACAATAAAATATTATTTAAAATGCTGCAAAATATCCTCTTAAAGTATTTGCAAATTCTACCAGAATAGTGACGGTCAGGGGGCCAATATTCGGTAGTATAGTCCAGCCAACACCGACGCCGCATTTTATTTGTTCGCCGGTACAAGCCAAATTGAAAGCGCGGGACACAAACCTTCACAATTCTCTGTGAAATGTGAGTCACTCTCTGAAGGCTCGAATTAACTTTGCAACCATTTCCAATTGTATCGATTTATTATATATAATACTCATAATAAACGATCGATCATCAAAAAGTTTCTCAATGACTTTTGTTTAGGATTACGCCAATTTTAAAAGTACGTTAACTCGTTGCAGGATTTTCATTTTGCAATCACGCTAGATTTTTATGAATTTGTTGGTTTTATTGCAAAAGAAAATCTTACATTGCCCCGATAAGAGTTTTTGACATGTATGTTTTCACTAAAAACTTTTTTTATTGAGCAATTTAGTTCCATAATGTGCACATTTGAGCTCCATTATTCCTTTTGTTTAAGATTTTAATCTCTAGCTAAGCTCTTTATTTTGAAAAATTTTTACTGCAATAATATCCGTGTAAAACCTTATGATAATAAGATATTATTAAACTTTTTGACGTCAATGTTTTTTCAAAACATTATTTCCAGAAAGCAGAAAATTATTCATTTAATGTTTTGATTTCTCATCTTATTTTTTAATAAATTAATTGATCGAGATCGTGCCGAAAATACCGGGTTTGAATTATTAAAAATAATGTGGCCTCCATGTAGTGGCCTACTAATCATTCTTCTTTGAATTATGTAGAATTCTTCAGAAAAAGTTTCGAATTCATAGAACGTGAAATTAATGCTAATAACTAACTTCTTTACGAATCAGTAGGAATTAATGTAATAAACTTGTAGAATTTGAATTAACCAGCAATAATAGAATTAAAAGATGGATCCAGCAACTAACAACTTAATGAATGTTATATAAATTCTAAATACATATTAAATTTTAAGCCTTATACTTTGAAAATAGTTTAGCCATTTGATTACTTGGAATCATGAGGTTTTCTCGTGTGCCGAGTCAGCGCTTCTAAGCCTAAATAGAAGCCCTGGAATTGCCGGCGTCTGGGCAGACCGTGTTTACTGCATTCAATCCTGGGCGGCAGGCGATGAGGTTTTTAATTGGATCTTCCTCAGGTGGCAGGTTTCTGCATAAAAACATGGTGCTAAAATCTCATAATTAATTTATATTAACTCATAACATGCATGATTTGAAGATCCATATTATTATGTTAATTCTAATGCAACTTGCTGAAAACAAAGTTCTGGGAGGAGGCTCCCATACATTTTTATCCACGTCTGAGCTGGCGACTTGAACTGGCTAACAGTGGATAGAATAGGATTCAATAGAAGGCATTAGTTAGTCAAACTATTCCGTAGTTCTTTGTGGATGTCGATGTCATAGGCAATCTCCTCTTCATGCAGTTAGAAAACAATAGCCTCAGAGGCTATTGTCCAAGCTGCAATTGGGGCAGGGTCAGTGTCGGCGTTCAGATGGCATTTGGCAGCAAATGCCATGGCATCTCTGAAAGTCCCAAAGACCAATTTTCGAATAGAAGCATTCGCGCGAATTGCAATCAGTCCTGACTCCAATGCCAGTCTTCCAGTTGAGTAGCGTCAATTTGTACATTGCCTTGATATTGACAGAAATACATTTCCTTATTTCCATATTGAGACGTTTTCTTCGTTTATACTCATTCTATGTAATTTGAATGGGAGTTTTCTACATTTTATTTCATAGCTAAACTTCAGGCTACTTTTAATCTGATTCTGTATTCAGGGTAATTATGATTAATTTTATAATAACCCAAACTTTCAGGATAATTCAGAATTTTAATTCCCTCTGCATATAAGCCTAGCAGATATCTTCTATGTCGTCCATGACGGCATGTAATGTGGTCTTAAAAGCCTTACAACTCGAGCGGCAGTCACCGAAGAACCATTGTATAGGAGCTTGATGCAGTTAGACCAGCATTAAGTTCCATTCACTGCCGAGACCTTTAGTGATTTAAAGGCGTCTAAGGCCACCAAGACACCGTAGAGATCGCTTGATTAGAGACGAAAATGCACGTCTTCAATGAGAACTGAAATGCAAATGTGAATATTATGAATAATCTTTGCATCATGCGTATGATCTTACTATTTCTGCATTGCATATTATATATTCTCGTCTGACGACAACTCGATAATATATTACGAAGGAACGGAGACGAATGCATCGATGAAATCGCCATTTATTTCTATATTTGTTATTCACATTGCAGTTAACTGACCATTGCGTCTCTGCTACAGTAAAAGGGACCCTGGGAGAAAAAAACATTCTACTCGCTTTCAATTTATTTCTGCAATTGAAGTAGCTGAGTAATGAAAGAGTTAAGAAATATTTTCCTGTGCGTGACCAACTGTTACCTTACCTCCACCAATAGGAATTCTGCAGAGGATCTAACGTCATTGAGTTCGTTTTATCGGTGATTTTATATTCTGTACTTTTATAAGCATGCATCAAGTGAGAAGATGTGCAGAGAGGAAGAGAGTTTATTAAACTTGATATACTAGGTATTCTAGAATTAGTTCAGAGAGCAAAGATTTCATTATTTTCAGAGTTATTTAAAACTCACATATATAGAGAGTTACTTTCAGAGAACATTGAGTTATATTAATATTAGTTCTGTCTTAAATAAGAAATGCTTAACACCGGATCAGATTCTTTTCTATCAGCGCCGCAAATCAAGACCAGGTTTTCCATGTCGAACATTTTCCTATTGATGGAAGCCTCGCTGGATAAATCCACCAGAAGGGTAGAATATTTGTCGGCATTCATAATTGAGTGTCGAAGAGGCATTTTACGGAAATTCGCTGTCGCCAGATAAAAAACGAAAAGAACGTTCGCTGGTTTTTCTACCTATTTCAATAAATTGGTAGAAAAGTGCGTCGGTCTAGCGATGTTTGCCCGAAGCATTTCTATTGATGATGAATTTTGTTCCGCTAGCAGAAAGGAAGCTTTCTCTGACGCGAAATTTGATTTCAGGATCGAAATTCAAGAATGTGACAACGCGAAAAAAAATTATTTTTCCAATGCACTTCAGACAACCGAGGCTCTTTATGAAATTCAAATTAGTGTGGTACGGGTTCACGAACTGCAAACTTTTCCATATTTTACCTTAATCCAATTGCACGATATTAATCATGTTTGCTTCAGAAGATATAAATAATCCATTGTACCGTTGCAATCTATTTTTCGTTCTCCAAATATGAATCTATAACGTGATCTCAATGTACATATAACAGATTAAATGAGTTCGAGGTTTAATGTTTTAGGTACACTTGAATCAATTCAGGTGGAAAATATGAACTCTGGTTTTTATTTTTTCAACCTCTTGTAAAAGTTTGATCAGAAGCTTGACTATTTGGACCTCCTTCTTTATTGCGTGCACATATTTTACATAAATTTCTAGAAAAGTTCTTTCATTGTCTTTTTGGTAAATGTAATTTATATTTAATTGGGAGATGATTGTAATTGCAATAAAATTGGCCGGTCAAGTTTACGTTTACAGAAACATATTAGAGGCTATAGAATCTGCATAAATCTTCTCGCTTCGACGTGATAGGTCCGCATGTTCTTTTGAATTGATATGCGGATGCTGCTATTTATTATGTGGCTTAATCCAAACTATTGAGTAGTATATTTCATATAATTATGCATTTTTAGGATTCACAAAGAAAATTTAAAGCCGATCAGGAAACTGAAGGAAGTTGGGTGGGAAAACGGAGCAGCCGTATCCGATGTGAAAACATTACAAGGTCAAATTCGTGAAAATACTAGGGAACAAAATTTATTTGACCTGCAGAATCAAGTCGAATTTTTTATGATGAAAGGCCCTACCTGGATAATGCCTCACTAGTTAATCTTGTTCAGCAGCAAATCAATTTATAGCTGTCAAATCTGTAAACCTTTCCCAGGATTTTAGTATAGATTTATAAACAAGGAGATTTATTCTTTAATTTGTGACTAATGTTAAATTCTGCGCTTTTGGCCTTTGCTTGTATCATGGCAGACGTCCACACAGGCGAAGGCAACATGGCATCTGGTAACGGCAGAGACAAGGCCAGACGACAGCAGGCACAAGGCCGGCCTGTCGACAGCAGGCACAAGGCAGGCCAGACGACAGCAGGCACAAGGCCAGATGACAGCAGGCACAAGGCCAGACGACAGCAGGCACAAGGTCAGATGACAGCAGGCACAAGGCCAGGCGACGGCAGGCACAAGTCCAGACGGCAGCAGGCACAAGGCCAGACGACAGCAGGCTCAAGGCCAGGCGACAGCAGGCACAAGGCCAGGCGACGGCAGGCACAAGGCCAGGCGACAGCAGGCACAAGGCCAGACGGCAGAAGGCACAGGGCCAGACGACAGCAGGCTCAAGGCCAGGCGACGGCAGGCACAAGGCCAGACGACGGCAGGCACAAGGCTAAACGACAACAGGCACAAGGCCAGGCGACGGCAGGCACAAGACAGGCGCAAGCGTCTGTCTGAAGCAGGGATGAGCATAAATACTAAGCGCTTAGGCAAGGCCGGTAAACGACGAAGCTTGTGATGCATTGCCTCCCATCCTGGGCCTGATTGCTGAGCCGCCGGTCCACCCGACGCACAAATTTATGGCCAGACCTGGAAATGAGGCTCGCGTGCTGCGCCCCCCGCAGGCCGGCAGCTCAAATCTCACTGAGGCTTAATGCCTCCTCGGCTGTCGAACACGCGAGATCAAAAATTAATTTTCACTGCCACCCGGAAAGTGATTTTAATTTTTCGGTACAAATGAAGATCTTTCAATTATTTCTGAAGGCTCCACATGCTCAAACCGTATTATTTATTATCTTGACGAGAGCTGGCAATTAGAACTAAGTACATACCTGCTAATTAAACGCATAGAGTATGAAGCATTTAAGAACGCACTAGAAAAATATATGCTGAGGTAAACGTTTCTATTAGCAGTGTCTACCACCTCACTGAGTTATAGAATGTTCAGTAGCTGCTTAGCTTCAACGTCGGTTTTGGAATGGGTCATCAGGCCACTTCTCAGATCCCTTGGAGACAATTCAAAAGCATTTCAAGTACAGGCCAAACTTGGCCTATTCTTCAATGCCAACACTAATACTCGACCTATGCTACTCTATTTTTATTTTCATGGTTTGACTTTCTTTGTAATTGATATGATTTCACAATGGATTTAGAAGATTTTAGTTAAATTAATGATTTTCCAATTTCCGCGAGGATTGTAACTTGCCACATTGAAACAGAATTTTCTGATTTATCCATGAATTACCTTTTTATCAAGCAATATATCAGGAATGCTTGAAAATAAAATTCCTTGATGTACTTCTCGCACACATGTGATTCACTTCAAGCAATTAGTATGAATAAATTATGCAATTAATTAATTTGCATGAATTGGTTAATTATTTCATTGCCATCTTTTGAAAACGCCTTACTGCTCAGGCACACTAATTAATTACTAATTAGAATAAAGAGAGATGAATTCCGGGCAAGACCGACTTACCAGGATCCAGACTTGACTCAATATTGCCACGTGGCATCGCTGTGAAATATTCTGTAAGTTTGTAAAAAAATTTCCAACTACAGGATGACTTGTGTCAGTTGGAACATAATGCCGCGCTGAGACTTGTTTTTTGTTTTTTGATGTGGCAATGTAATGCGACGCAATTGTATAGTGAAATAGTGAAGCTAAGAACCTGCTGACCTTTAAACTTTAGTTGATAAATGAAATATTATATAACACTGGTGGTCAGCAGAGGCTGTTACCTGTCTTCAATTAGTACTAGAGTCAAGAAAAATAAATGAACATCAAAATGGAATTGTATTTATAATACAATTAATAAAAAGAAATTTTTATATAATTTGATTACTTTTCAATAACAGTCATATGCTCTATTTGCTAATAATATTGCTCTCTCTATTTCCATTCTAATAAATGACGTCACAATGATATTCATATCCATGTTAACCCACGAAGAAAGTTGTTAGCTTCCCGGAGACTGAATCGTGATATATCTTATATTATTTTTACGTCCGGCTTCAAGTTTTTGAAAACTCATTAACCGTAAATTAAAGTAAATTGACGGTAAATTGCACCGTTAAAAAGAGATAATGTGCCCGTAATTTTAGTTTAATTATTAATAAAATAGATTACTATTATATGATATCTTTCGAAATCTGAAGCTCATGTTCATCATTAGGCTTATTTTCGCATTAATATTATCCATTTTTCATTTAACGTTCCTTTTCATGGTCTGCCAATGTAGCTTCCGCTTGAAAAACTTGTACAAACTGCGCGACATGTGACGTTTAAAGTTGAGCTCCAGACGCAGTCTGCGAATTCAGATCGTGGCAGTCATTCTCCGCTAAAATAATAATCGTTGCAACCGTGCAACATGCGCCGAAACTTCTATGAGAAACTGACACAACCGAATTTCCTGCGAGAAACAGGCACAACAGAAACTAACAATTATCAAACGGAACCTAAACTCCTACGAAGAATAAATACAAGGAACAACTCCGTTGGCTACTTGTTTGCAAGTGATTTTGAAAAATCAATTGTTAATTAAATTTTACATTAAGAAAAATAAAGGAAATAATTAAGTGGATTGAAGGTGAAATATTTTTCTCTTACAGAGCCCGTAAAATTATTTCTCTTTTGACTCTTAGACTTAATTTCAATCAGCATGTATAAATAATACAATTGCTAGCTCTTAACCGCTGCACCTCTTGGCCGCTTACTGCTTAGCTCCTTAGCAGTATTTACAAGTTAGCGTAATCACATCAACCACGGTGTTTACTTAAACAAATAAATTCAGTTTCCATCAAAGAATAATTTACCGTAATTATTTGGCTTTAGAAATAACAAAGAAGACCTCCTATGTAGCCCTATTTCAAATGTGGGGATTTGTCTAAATAATGAACACGGGCTTCAAAATAATTCAACGGTAATGAGGCAACCTTCTTACTATTTTTTATATCTTTGCTTGAAAGTTTAGTCAACCCTAATGAAACACTAAACCAAATAGAAAAATAATTTTGTCATATGATGAAAATGCAATTTATCTTCGCATTCAAAATCATATGCAATCTTGAAGTAATAATATTCAGAAGCTTCACATGACCAAATTAAACTCGAGGTCCACTGGGAAATTAAAATTGTGATATCCACAGAAATCAAAGTGACTTGTTTTACACTGAAGGTCGAGCTTGTAGCTGAGAACGATGCTCCAGCCGAGCCCCACCATGTGTTGCATGACTCGCGTGTATCATCCAGTGTTCGTGCTGGTTCTAGATATTAAAATATCCTGCAGGTTCTAGGCACTGCTGGTACTGACTACGCCATATCATGCAGGTTCTAGACCCTGCAATATCATACAGGTTCTAGACACTGCAATATCATGCAGGTTCTAGACACTGCAATATCATGCAGGTTCTAGACACTGCAATAGGTTCTAGACACTGCAATATCATGCAGGTTCTAGACACTGCAATAGGTTCTAGACACAGTAATATAGACAATGTACATGCAGACTTGAGCAGCGGTCCACACACCCGGCATATCAGAGCCATCAGGGCTTCTTGGTTTCGCTGCGATACCATCGCTGAGACCGTGGCTGCTGTCCTGATAAAACGCGCTCTGCAGATTGAAGAGAAATGAAGAGCTGCAAAATATGTGGAATAACGTAATAACACGTCTCCCGGTGTTGTTCAGAAGCGAGATTTCGAGTTCTGAAGATTTGATCAACACATGAATAAAATTTTCAACTTTTCGTGTTTAGCTTGTGAATATATAATGAACAAGTGTGTCTTGTGCCGCATGAATGAATATATATTGTGTAGAATGAATGAGTGCGTATTGTGTAGTATGACTTAGTGCGTATTGTGTAGTATGAATGAGAATGTCTTATTTAGCATAAATGAGTATATTTTGTGTAGTATGAACGATTGTATTTTGTGTGGTATGAACGAGTGCATTTTGTGTAGTATGAACGAGTGTATTTATTGTGGTATGATCGAGTGTATTTTTTGTAGTATGAACGAGTTTGTTTTCTGCAGTGTGAACGGATGTATTTTGTGTGGTAAGAATGACTGTATTTTAGATAGTTTAAACGGGTGTGTTTTGTCTAGTATGAACGATTTTGTCTTGAACAAAACATTCCATAATTGTACATTCCGCCAACTTGCAAATGACCTCACAAATAATTTCATATATTTTAGATCAACCTTATTTTGGTTGCTCTAAAATGACTAAAATGAAACTAGTTTTGGAATAGCTTATTATTTTATTATTATACATATAGCAGGAAACATTTAGCATTTCCATCATTTTTATTGTTATTTTTTATTTGCTCAAATTTTGTGATATTTTAAAAATTTCTGAATTTCACATTCCATTTCACGTCGTAATTTCGCTGCTGTGCCGCAGCCGTGGTTCAACATTAGCTCCTCTCATTTTTTTAACCTTTTAACGCTTTCAACTTTTAGCTACACATATGTTTGGGATATGTTGCATATGACAGCACATCCGCTGACAGAAATTGGTGGGAGTTCCTTTTATAACATTTTTCCCTCTGCGAATTCGGTGAATATTGTTATTGTTGAGATGCGTTTTGACATACAAATTTTTTAAAAAATAAGAGTTATTTTGTTAAATTTTGGTTCTGTTATACTCGCATTTTCTGCTTTGGGCCTTTAGATGATGGTTGAAAAAACATGCATGCATTAGTATCTCTGCATTTCGCTTCACTTTTTTAAACCTATTTTTCCTAAAATGAAAAGGAAACCTTTTGCTATTCGATGAAACGACAATTTCACAATCATGGTTTCACTCCAAAATGTAATTAACTTAAATCAAAACAATGATAAAATTTCTGTTCCTTCACTCTCGTTTTAATCAATGCCAATAGAATTAATCATGAAAAAGACTCAACGCTTTTATTTTTAATTTCTTTTTCTGAGCAACACTTTTTATTTCCTGAGCCCCATTGCACAAGTAAGTCGTTCATTTCGTTCTCCATAGAATTTCCCGTGTTTTGAAAATCAGTCTTGTATTCTAGTGGCAATTTTTCCTCTGGGAGATCTCTTCATAACTGAAGATTTTTTGCCGTAGTTCATTTCAAATTTCCCGCGAAGTTATTTGTTTTCATCAGTATGTAAATTTGAGCTCTGTTTCCATAGACATTTTACGGGCTGAAAGCCATTCTTTTTTTTTCTTTCAAATCTCAGGGCGTTGTTATTCAGATTTATTATTAACATTGAAACAATTGATCCATGTTCCCCCGTTGTTAGCCACACGTCAAAGTCGTTCTTTCTCTTAAGAATTCTCGTGCCATTTTGATTTTCTTTTTCTCCTTGAGAAGCAAATTATCTTATTCGATTATTTTTCGCATATATTTTTTGCAGTTGAGGGTATAATTTTAATACGCATTTGATTTAAATTAATACGCATCTGATTGCGTATTAATTATTAAAATTGCGTA